TCTTGTGTGGTAGTGTTTGAGGGTCTTGAGACCCGTGTTGATTTATTGCTCTTAGACATGGTGGATTTCGACGTTATATTAGGGATGGATTAGTTGTCTCCGTATCATGCTATCTTGGATTGTCACGCCAAGACCGTGACCTTGGCTTTGCCAGATTTACCCCGATTGGAGTGAAGATGGCCCCAGGTCATGCCACCCGCAGGGTTATCTCATATGTGAAGGCTCGACGCATAGTCGAGAAGGGGTGTCTAGCTTATCTGGCGTATGTTCGCGATTCCAGCACAGAGGTTCCTTGTATTGATTTTGTCCCTATTGTTCGGGAGTTCCCCGAGGTTTTCCCTTCAGAACTGCCGGGTATGCCGCCCGACAGGGATATTGATTTCTGTATTGATCTGGCCCCAGGCACGCAGCCCATTTCTATTCCGCCGTATCGCATGGCCCCGCCAGAGTTTAAGGAGTTAAAGGACCAGTTGCAAGATTTGCTAGAGAAGGGTTTTATCAGGCCTAGTGTTTCTCCTTGGGGTGCGCCAGTGTTATTTGTTAAGAAAAAGGATAGATCGATGAGGATGTGCATTGATTACCGGCAATTGAACAAGGTGACAATAAAGAACAAGTATCCACTGCCAAGGATTGATGATTTGTTTGACCAACTTCAGGGTGCAAAGCTGTTTTCAAAGATAGACTTGAGATCTGGCTACCATCAGCTAAGGATTAGGGCATCCGATGTCCCTAAGACAGCATTCCGCACTCGGTACGGGCATTATGAGTTCCTAGTCACGTCGTTTGGGTTGACCAATGCCCCAGCAGCATTCATGGAGTTGATGAACCGAGTGTTCAGGCCATATTTGGACATGTTCGTGATAGTCTTTATTGATGATATTCTGGTGTACTCCCGCAGCCAGGAGGAGCACGAGCAGCACCTCAGAGTGGTTCATCAGACTCTGAAGGATAGTCAGTTGTATGCTAAGTTCTCGAAGTGTGAGTTCTGGTTGAGTTCGGTTGCATTTCTGGGTCATGTTGTATCAGCAGAGGGTATTCAGGTGGACCCGAAGAAGATTGAGGCAGTCAAGAACTGGCCTCGACCAGCATCGGCTACAGAGATTCGGAGTTTCTTGGGGTTAGCAGGTTATTACCGCCGGTTCGTGGAGGGATTTTCATCCATAGCAGCCCCGATGACCAGATTGACCCAGAAGGGTGCCCAGTTCAGATGGTCGGATGAGTGTGAGGCGAGCTTTCAGAAGCTCAAGACAGCTCTGACTACGGTATCGATATTGGTTTTGCCCACGGGCTCAGGGCCATATATAGTTTATTGTGATGCTTCCCGTATTGGGCTTGGTGCGGTATTGATGCAGGATGGCAGAGTCATTGCTTATGCATCGAGGCAATTGAAGATCCACGAGAAGATTTATCCAGTTCATGATCTCAAGTTGGCAGCCATTGTTCATGCTTTGAAGATTTGGAGGCATTACCTATATGGTGTGACGTGTGAGGTGTACACTGATCACAAGAGTCTGCAGTACTTGTTCAAGCAGAAGGAGTTGATCTTAGCGGAGGCCCATAGTTCTCGTTATTCTATTCACCCGGGCGCCGCGAAGATGTATCAGGACTTGCGGCAGCATTATTGGTGGCGTAGGATGAAGAAAGATATTGTTGCATATGTGGCTCGATGTTTGAACTGTCAGCAGGTTAAGTATGAGCATCAGAGGCCTGGTGGTTTGTTTCAGAGGATTGAGCTTCCCGAGTGGAAGTGGGAGAGGATTACCATGGATTTCGTTACTGGACTTCCGATGACTCGGAAGAAGCTTGATGCTATTTAGGTCATTGTTGATAGGCTGACCAAGTCAGCGCATTTTATTCCTGTTGCAGCCACTTATTCATCGGAGAGGTTAGCTGAGATCTACATCCGAGAGATCATTCGCCTTCATGGGGTGCCGGTATCTATTATTTCGGATCGGGGTACGCAGTTTACCTCGCGCTTCTGGAGAGCAGTTCAGCAGGAGTTGGGCACCCAGGTTCAGTTGAGCACAGCGTTCCATCCTCAGACGGACGGCCAGTCCGAGAGGACTATTCAGATATTGGAGGATATGCTCCGAGCTTGTGTCATTGATTTTGGAGGCTCGTGGGACCAGTTTTTTCCTTTAGCAGAGTTCTCCTACAACAACAGCTACCAGTCCAGCATTCAGATGGCTCCATATGAGGCGTTGTATGGTAGGCGATGTCGGTCTCCAGTCGGATGGTTTGAGCCGGGGGAGGCTCGGTTATTGGGTACAGATTTAGTTCAAGAGGCCTTGGATAAGGTCAAGATCATTCAAGACAGGCTTCGTTTGGCTCAGTCGCGGCAAAAGAGTTATGCAGACCGTAAGGTTCGAGATGTAGCTTTCATGGTTGGTGAGCGGGTATTGCTCTGAGTGTCGCCTATGAAGGGCGTGTTGAGATTTGGGAAGAAGGGCAAGCTTAGCCCTAGGTACATCAGCCCGTTTGAGATTCTTGATCGAGTGGGTGAGGTGGCTTATAGACTTGCGTTGCCGCCTAGCTTATCAGCCGTGCATCCAGTTTTCCATGTATCTATGCTTCGTAGGTATCACGGCGATCCTACCCATGTGTTAGACTTCAGTACTGTCCAGTTGGACAAGGACTTATCATATGAGGAGGAGCCGGTAGCTATTCTAGACCGGCAGGTTCGTCAGTTGAGGTCCAAGAGTTTTCCTTCTGTTCGTGTTCAGTGGAGAGGTCAGCTTCCTGAGGCATCGACCTGGGAGTCCGAGTCTGATATGCGGAGCCGTTATCCCCATCTTTTTCCTGACTCAGGTACTTCTTTCTCTTGTCCGTTCGAGGACGAACGGATGTTTTAGAGGTGGAGAATGTGACGACCCAAAGGGTCATCACCTGTATTCCTACTCACTCTGTATTTCTGAGGCCATGAAAACCTCACTTGGGGGTTGCCTCGAATTTGTGTGCGCAGTCCGGGCGCGTAGCCGGAACGTTTATATATGAATTTGTGGGGAAAATAATAAAATTTTGATGTTTAAATTGATTAAGTTTAACTTCGGTCAACGTTTTGGGCAAACGGACCCGGACTCGTGATTCGACAGTCCCGGAGGGCCCGTAGGAAAATATGAGACTTGGGGGTGTGCCCGGAATCAAATTCCGAGGTTCCGAGTCCGAGGAATGAATTTTTACGTGAAATGGTTTTCTGAAAGTAATTAAAGAATTGGAAAGTGTTATTTATTTAGAAGACTGTGTTGTTGGGCTTGTATTTTGGTTCCGACGCCCGGCACAAGTCTTAAATGTGAATTAAGCAATTTCTGTGAAGTTTGGTTAGATTTGGACGTCATTTGACGTGTTTTGAGCTAGAAGCAGTAAAATTTGATGTTTTGTGGAAATTGGAAGGAATCATTGGTCTTGAGGCCTAATTCGATGTTGTTTTGGCGATTGGATCGCACGGATGAGTCCGTAGGATGTTTTGGAGTTGTGTGTATGTTTGGTTTGGAGCCCCCGAGGGCTCGGGTGAGTTTTGAGTGATCCCGACAGGGTTTTAGACTTAAAAGTATCAGAAATTGCAGGTCCAGGTGTTGTAGGCCCCCAGCGCGGCCGCAATCATTTCTGCGCGGTCCGCGCTGGAAACCGCGCGGCCGCGGTGCATTTCTGCGCGGTCCGCGTGGCTAGGTTCAGAGGGCCAGTGAACTCTAGGTCAACCAGCGCGGCCGCGTACCAAATCAGTGCGGTCCGTGCTGGAAGATTCAGAGAGGGTCTTGGGTCCATCCAACCAGCGCGGCCGCGCACCAAATCAGTGCGGTCCGTGATATGTGTGATTTTCTTTGGTTTGTCGTCAATCGCGTTGTTTGTATTTGGTATTTTTCAAAGATTGAAATGAAGAAGGCATTTTATTCTGTTATCCAAACACTTTTACCCCTTTTGAGCCCTATTTATTTTCTTTCATACCCCTCTTTTGGAATCGGCAATAGGGTTTAAAGATAGATAAAGGAAGAAAAGAAGGAAAAGAGAAAAGAAAAAAGAAAAAGAAAAAAAAAGAAAAAGGGAAAAAAGAGAAGAAAAAAAAAGAAGAAAAGAAAAGCAAAAGAAAAAGTAACAAAAATGAAGCAACTTTTATGTCTTGAACTACGTTCGACCTGATTCCTTTTAAGGATACGTAGGCAGTCTTACGGTTCGGTCCCATCAAAAATAAAAGTCCAAAATTCCCCAGACTCAAAAAACTGGGGCAGAAGTTGTGGCGTTGCGAAAGATTCGATTCCAAAAGTTGTAATTTTGAACCCTTTTTCTAATCTGTTTTGAGCTGTATGCCTCCTNGGAAAATCACTTTTCATGCTTTCAAATTTATTAGATTAGCCTTTGTTGATACACTCAAGTAATTTGTGACTAGATTCGAGCGGTTTGGTGGTGAATTCGAAGGGTAAAGCTATACTAGAGGATTGAGTTGAGTTTGGAGCATTTGAGGTAAGTGTTTGATCTAACTTTGGCTTGAGGGAATAGGATTAGAGTATTATTTGCTAATTGCTAAATGTTGAGTACGGTGTATAGGCATGGTGACGAGTATCTATACACCGGTGTCTAGCATGACCGTGAGTTCTTACTTGTGCTTATGTGGGATTCCGTGGTGACTCTCCCTTGTTTAATTGACGATTTCGATATAATGTGAAAAATATGAAGAGAAGATATGATTTGTAAACTCCTTGGAGCGTTGGCTCGAATTATGACATGATTAGGACGTAAGAAATGAACGAAAGAAGAAGAGATGTAATTACTCCCTTGCCGGGACGAGTAAGTGATTGTTGTTGTTTCCCTTGCCAGGAAATCATTGCTTATATATTATGAAATGCGATCGTGTGGCACGCCGATCACTTATATATTATAAAATGGGATCGTGTGGCACGCCGACCACTTATATATCATGAAATGGGATCGTGTGGCACGCCGACCACGTATTCTGTGTTAGAAGAGATTTGGTTGTAGTTTTCCTTATTTGTTCCTACCGTTCTATTTTATCTGCTATTCCCAAAGTATGCTCCCTCCCNACCACTATTTTGCTTCACTCTATTTCCTTCCAGTTGTTTAGTATGAAATCTAAAATCATTTATTTCATATCCTTTGAATCTTTGGACTCCATCAAAAGGACCTTTAGCCAAAGAATACAACCCGCGACTTGCATGTGAATTTTTTTCCTTGCGCATTTGCACGATCTACATAAAAATAAATAATAAAATAATGATGCTAAAGAAGTATTATAAGTAACATTAAAAATACAGTGAAAACTTACTCGATGAAAAAACCAATCATCGAAGTTCATGTTCCTATTGTTCTCGTACTCACTGTTTAAAATAACCATAATAATGAGAAATGGCTAACAAAATTAAATTCACAATATATAATACCATAAATAAACAATAACAACAACAACAATATGCCTAGTGTAGTCCCACAAGTGGGGTCTGGGAGGGTAGAATATACGCTGACTTTACACATGCCTTTAAGAAGGCAAATAGGATGTTTCTGGTGGACCCTCCGCTGAGGGAGGGGAGGACAATAACAAGCAAACTGATCTGACAACCGAAGGCAAAATACAAAACTAGTAGTAGGTAATCAATCAAAAAATCGAAAATAAAAGACAACAATAAGTAGTAATAGAAGTCTAGGGATACCGAAAAGAAAAAACACGAAAGACACCAAATGGTGTATCAAAATTTATTTTTAGGAAAGTGTTCGAAAAAAAAAGCACGAGAAGAGTTTGACATTTTCTTTTAGGTGATGATTTGATTATTTACCATACAGACCCAAAGGAAACTTTTTAAATGAAAATTGGAAAATACATGCTACATATTTAATATGCACGATACAGTAGATTCCTCAACTAATAAAGTTCTTACTAAGGAATTTTTACCAAGATGATTATAGCCACAAAAAATCATCAAAAAGAGTTGTAACCAATATGAATCGGAAAGATTTACTTGATGAGATTTAAACAAAGATCATAAACAAGAAATCATGAGCTTATCTTCACTGGACAATTCCAAAAAGAACCTTTATGGTCGAACACTTCTAACTCAAACTCTTATAAATGCTTGGATGTTACTGTAGAAACAATAGCATAAAGAAAAACAATACCGTAGAAATGGTTGAACTTCTTCACAATTTCTCAAAACATAAAGATGAGCTTGTTTTCGTTCAACCTCTTCAAGAGTTCTAGATGTATCGCTTAATAAAGGGCAACCCTTCTGCTCAAATATTGATAATCCATTGCATGACTCAGCATGATCACCGTCATAATTTTTGTCCACTGGATTAAACCCTCTCCCATTTCCATGTAAATACCTTGAACAAAATATTAAACTTTCTTCAACAATATACCCTTCTGCAATAGATCCTTCAGGTCGACATCTATTACGAACATAACATTTCAATTTGCGCAAGAATCTACATGATATAAGAAGCAGTTAAACTCTTAGCATGATAAATTAAGTTAAGCTCTTAGCATGATAAACTAACAAGCCATAACAAATAAAACTGAAATTATGACATAGAAAAACATACCCTCTATTGGGTACATCCATCTGTATTGTACAGGTCCAGCAATCTTGGCCTCTTGTGGAAGATGAATGACCAAGCGCACCATAATATCAAAGAATGTTGGCAAAAATATTTTTTCTATTTTGCTCAACGTAATTGGAATTTGAGTTGCAAGCCGATCTAACACATCAACTCGTACATTTTTTGAACATAACTCTCTGAAGAAAATGCTTAGCTCGGTAATAGCAGCATAGACATGGTTTGGTAGGATTCCGCGGATTGCAAAAGGAAGCAGTTGTTCCAAAAGAATATGAGAGTCATGACTCTTCAGTCCATAAATTTTACGATCCTCTAACTTTACACACCGTGATAAATTGGAAGAATATCCATCTAGAACCTTAATAGTTTTCAAGAACTTGCATACTTTAGACTTCTCATCTGGTGATAAACTATAGCATGCTGCTGGATAATACCACTTTCCATCTTTTTGAGTTGGATGCAAATCTTTTCTTATACCCATTTCCTTCAAATCACGACGAGCATTCAAATTATCTTTCGTTTTTCCTTCCATATCTAATAACGTCCCAATAATATTATCACACACATTTTTTTCAATATGCATGACGTCTAAATTGTTACGTATGAAAAAGATGCTTTTCTTCCTCCAATTATGAATGCCTTTACTTTTTTCGTATCTTTTTCTCTTTTGGGTCTTACCAAATTTAATGTCTTCCAAGCTATCCAACTGGTTTAAAATATCATCTCCAGAGAGAATTTTTGGAGCAGGTCTTCTTTCTACTTTCCCATTAAAATCACGTTTATTTCCCCGCCACCTATGATTAAGCGATAAAAACCTACGAGCACCTATGTAAGAGAACTTACGACCATACTTTAATCGAGTAGACAGAGTCTCTTTGTTGCATGAAGGGCAAGCCAAAGCTCCCTTTGTGCTCCATCCAGACAAGTAGGCATAAGCTGGAAAATTATTTATAGTCCATAAGAGTGCTGCCCGCATACAGAAGTTTTCCTTTCTCGAAGCATCATATGTATCGACTCCATTATACCACAATTCTTGTAACTCATCCACCAAAGGTTCTAAGTACACATCAATATCATTTCCAGGAGCTTTAGGGCCAGGTATCAACAAAGACAAGAAGCAATATGGTTGCTTCATGCACATCCAAGGGGGTAAGTTATACACAGTAATAATTACTGGCCAAGTGCTATGAGAAACACTTAAATTGCCGAAAGGATTTATCCCATCAGATGCTAATCCAAGTCTAACATTACGAGGATCTCTGGCAAAGCCCGGGTTAGATGTATCAAAATGTTTCCATGCATCTGAGTCGGCTGGATGTCTAAGAACCCCATCTTTCAAACGTTGATCGTGATGCCATGTCATGTCTGAAGCTATTTCTGATGACGTAAACAACCTTTGCAATCTTGGTTTCAAAGGAAAGTAACGTAAAACTTTTTGAGGAATTTTGCTCCCATTTTTTTCTGTAGTAGCCCCATCAGCTTTTTGACCTTCCCTTGATTTCCACCAAGACTCGCCACAAACCAAGCAAGATTCAGCTTTTGCATTATGTTTCCAAAACAGCATACAATCATTTTCACAAGCATGTATTTTTTCATAACGAAGACCTAAACTTCGAATCACTTTTTTTGCTCCATAGAATGATTCGGGTAAAGTTTCACCAGAAGGAAGTGCTCGTTTAATTAACTTCATTATGCAATCAGTTGCTTTATCACTCAATCCATAAAGGCACTTAATTTGGAACAGCTCCACAATCAGTTACAACTTGGAGAATTTCTCGCAACCAGGATAAAGTTGTTGTGCAACATCCTCCAGTAATTTGGATAATTCCGAAGCTGGTTCAGAAGGATCAACCCCACCAGAATTGATATCAGGGCCAGTAGCATCATAAATCATTTCAAATATATCATCACCTTGCTCTTTTCTTACTTCCTCTTGTCTTATTTCAGTATTGTTAGTGATTTTCTCCTTGGGTGCAAATTCTCCATGAAAAAGCCAACGAGTGTACCCCTTGACTATCTCAAAAATTATTAAATGTTCCTTTACTTCGTCTCTAGTTTTGTGAAAAACATTGTTGCATTTTTTACAAGGGCAAGGAATTTCACCTTCTGGTTTTGTGTGCTTAAAAGCAAATTGAAGAAAACCTTCAACTCCTTTTAAATATACATCGCTCAATCTATCGTTACAGCGCATCCAAGTCTTGTCCATTTCAAAATTTCCTATAAAGAAAAATAAAATAAGATCAAGGTGCTTAAAAAAGAAAGATCACTTAACCATGATTATACAATTTAGAGGCTAATTTCACTTATGTATCTTGAATGAGATAGCAACTTTTACAAAAGATGGAGAATAAATCCAAAGAAACATTTTCCGAATACATAATTTGAAAGCAATCCATAATCACATTACTAATTCTTACAGTAAGATGTTTGTGATAATGAAAAACTGGAAGGTATTATGTACTGGATGAAGGAATCCGTAGCAATTGCTACTAAAATCACCTTCGAATTAGTAATTAAAGCAAGGGAAATAAGAATTGCAGAAAGAATAGGGAAAAGAGAATGAACCAAAAGACTACAACAAGTGAATTTAAATGCAAAATAATACAGCAGAGTATATTCTACACCTATAAACAGATACACAAATATACATAACTCCTTTGGTGCCAGAGGTTTTGGCATTCCTATTTGGATAGCAGATGTCAATATCGAATGGGGAAATTGCACATTTCTCTTTAAGATTTAAGAAACTGTTAAAGGAATTCAACATTGTGATAGCTTATATTTCTATTCTGTGTTGTTAAAAGAAGCTTTATACTATTCACATTTTCATTTGGACGGAGGTTAATTCTTGTAGTTTCAGACGCATTAAGTCATAAAACAAAATCACATTAAACAGGCAGTACATCTTTCATACTGGAAGAGGCCATATGCCATAGCAACCCCGATACACAAAATCCCACTTTTTGCTCCTAAACAACAACTATCAATATTCAACACCAAACCAATATTCACTACAACAATTAGCATTCTAAGCAGCCCAACAGTGAACCTTCGACTAGAAAGAAACAGAAGAAAGAGATTCTAGTTTTAAGCGAATAAGAAGAAAGAAACTTCAGAAAACAGAGAAAAAATAAACTTACTCTGCCGGATGATATCACCAATTGCTGCCAACGGAGATGAAGAATGAGTTTGAGGCTTCATCTTTGAGAGAAATTTGGAAGAGAAATTAATTTTGAGAGATGAGGGTTTAGGGATCTTTTGGTACGGTGTAAATTAGATCAGATAGAGGGACGCTTATGGGGATTGTACGTCCTGCTCTAAGGAATGCACATATATGTTAAAGTTGCATATTATACACTTTGGTCCATAATACTTTATACTATATGTTAAGATTTAAAATTTTAGAGGTGTTCATTCTTTGATTCAACTTAATTTTACGGGTTCTTTCTTGTAAGTCTCGATTAATTTAAATAAATAAGGTGATTATCTCTAATTAATCGGGCATGTTCTATCGAAATAATACCTTTTGGGGCAATTAGAGGTGTTCATCGTTTAGTTCAATCCAGTTGTACAGGATCTTACTTGTAAGTTTCTAATATAATTTAAATAAATAGGATGATAATCTTTAATTAACATTGATAAACTCTTTTATCGAATTTAAATAAAGCTTTATCAAATTCGCTCAAGCTTCGCCACGATCAAGTACTTTGAGAATAATTATTTTGGGTGGACATGTTCTACCGAAATAATACCTTTTAATGTAATTTGTGGTGTTCATCGGTCAATTCGATCCAAATTTGCACGAGCTTACTATCTTAACTACTTCTAAGTTTCACATATAATTAAAATAAATAGAGTGATCATATGGAATTATTAATGATTAACTATTATGTTAATTTAAATAAAACTTCACCAAGCATCGCTCAAGTTCTATCATGATCAAATACTTTGAGATATTTATTTTACTCAGACGTGTTCTATTGAAACAGAACCTCTTAGGGTAATTAGAGGTGTTCTTTTGACTTAATTTCACAGTATCTCTAATTGACTTTGATTAACAATTATATCAAGTTTAAATAAAAATTTCACCAAGTATCACTCAAAATCTATCTTGATCAAGTACTTTTGAGAATAGTTTTTTTTATTTACTCTGATTCGTTCTATTGAAATAGTACTTTTTAGGATAATTAGAAGTGTTCATCATTCAGTTTGACCTAATAGTACAGGATCTTACTCATAAGATAATTTAAATAAGTAGGGTGATAACATTGATTAAGTCATATCTCGAATTTAAATAAAACAGCCACGACCCAAAAACTAACCATGTCGTGATGGCGTCTATCTTGGTACTAGGCAAGCCGACACATTACCAAAACAAAACCATATTTTCATTTTCAAGATAATCCTAAAGATATTTAATATAAAATCTTCATAAGAAGTTCAAATCAAAACAAAAGTGCGGAAAAGAAAACCCGACATTGGGGTGTCACTAGTCGACACCGAAACCTATCAAATCACGTCCGAATGACCTCAATATTTATGCACAAGTCAGAATGACACCACGAACCTACTCCAACTTTCGGAATCCCATTTTGACCCCGATATCAAAATTTCCTCTGCCGGCCAAAATCGCCAAAATTCTAACTTTCGCCATTTCATGTCTAATTCTACCACAGACCTCCAAATCACATTCTCGACACTCTCCTAAGATCCAATACACCTAACGGAGCTAACAGAACCATCAAAATTCAACTATGAGGTCATTTATACATAAGTCAATATCCGGTCAACTTTTCCAACTTAAGCTTTCAAATAAGAGACTAAGTGACTCAATTCACTCCAAAACCACTCTGGACCCGAATCAACTAACCCGGTAAGTCATAATACAGCTATAGCATACAAAAGAAGCAAAAAATAGGGGAACGGGGCTATAACTCTCGAAACGACCGGCCGGGCCATTACAAAAACTTCACCAAGCATCGCTCAAGATTTATCCCAACAAATGCATGCTTCAAGAATAATTATGTTACTCGGACCTTTTTCTAATCAAAATAATGCCTTTTAGTGTAATTAGAGGTGTTCATCGTTCTATTCGACCTAATTTTGCAGGAGCTTACTAGATTACTAGTAAGTTTCACATATACTAAAAATAAATAAGGCGATCATCTCTAATTAATATTTATTAACTAATGTATCGAATTTAAATAAAACTTCACTAAGTATCACTCAAGCTTTATCCTGATCAAGTCTTCGAGACTAGTTATGTTAATAAAATATAGTTATATTAATAAGTTACAAACTAAAATAGATAAATATAACTAAATTATAGGGAATAAAAATATGTTTATATTAATAATATTCTTATCTAACTTCTTTTTGTTGGTCTGATTTTAGGAGGAGGAAAATATGAATTTACAATTTGAAAAATAAAATACGATTTTACCAAAAGAAAAAAGTTCCCTCCAAATTATTTCCCTCTAATTTTTTGCGCCTAAATCACAGCTTATTTTCCTATTAGAGAGACCAGTGAGCCAAACATAAACTAAAAGAATAAAAACCCTAAAATACTGAAAGTTACCAGAATTGAGGAGCAAAGGTACGCCTCTTCTGTAACGACCCGACCGGTCGTTTTGAGTCCTAGCGCTCTGTTCAGCAGTCGGAAGCCACGAACAGCTTCATTTCGGGTATTATGACTTGTACTCGTGGTCGGAATTAAGTTTCGGGAAGTTCAAAGTTAATTTAGAAAGAGAATTTTCATTTCAGAAGCTTAAAGTTGAAAGAATGAACTAGGATCGGAATTTTGAGTAAACGACCTCAGAATCAGGATCCGAAGGTTCCAGCAAGTTCGTATGATGATTTCAAACTTGGGCGTATGCCCGGTTCGGGTTTTGGATAACCCGGGTGTGTTTTGGCGCCTATTGTGGAAGTTAGCATTTTAGAAGAAATTTCTTAAGTTTGGCTTGAAGTGCAATTCAGTGTTATCGATGTCCGTTTGGGATTCCGAGACTGTGAATAGCTCCGTATGGTGATTCTGGAGTTGGGAGCGCAATCGGAAGTGAATTCGGAGGTCCGTAGGACATTTTGGAGCCATTTGGCTAAGGATAAAAATTTGAAGGTTTTTGAGAAGTTTGACCGGAGGTTTGACCTTTTGATATCGGGGTCGGAATCCGATTCCACAAGTTGCAGTAGGTCCGTAATGTCAAATATGACTTGCGTGCAAAATCGGAGGTCAATCGGACGTGATTTGATAGGTTTAAACATCAAAAATAGAAGTTGGAAAGTTCAAAGTTCATAAAGATTGAATCGGGGTGTAATGCATGATTTTCGTGTTATGTGATGTTATTTGAGGCCTCGAGCAAGTTCGTAATGTGTTTTGGGACTGGTTGGTGTGATTGGTTGGGGTCCCGGGGGCCTCGGGTGGATTCCGGGTGGTTAACGGATCGAAATTGGAATTTGGAAGAGAGTTGAAGGCATCTGGTTGCTGGTATTTTCGCTTCTGCGGTTGGTTGACCGCAGAAGCGGCACCGCAGAAGAGAACGGGGAGCCGCAGAAGCGGTTTTTGGTCCAAGGCTTGAGGATCGCAGATGCGGTCAAAGTTCCGCAGAAGCGGGACCGCATCTGCGGAAGGAGCATCGTAGAAGCGAGAAAGGGCGACTTGGGAAGGAGCCGCAGAAGCGGCCTTTTGACCGC